AAGTGGTTCTTAAGTTATGGCGTGTGTTATGTGTTAAAAAGTTGAGTTTTAACACATAAATTATCGCGATTACTGACGTTTTATCGTTATAAAAAAATGGACACCCTAACGATATCTTTATGATTTCATTTCAGATGCTCAGACATCTAATGATTTTATCTAGTTATATTTTCGAAAAAAACAGTCGTTTAAAAATAAGCGGTTTGCGATCGTGATTTTACTTTACCTGATAGGGAAAGGCGTACCGGCAACGCCGCAACAGCACACCGTCGCATTTCTCTCACTCCGACTTAATAAGATCCCTATACGATTTACTTCCATACATGTAAGTATCGACCCAAGAGTAACAGTTGCCAGCACGGTATATATAAGCCATGACATATGTTAAAATTGCCTCGTGAGTCTAAGCTAAAAACTTGCTAAAAACCAACATATAAAAATGCACGCTTTTAAACTTCTGACTCTTATAGTAAATCACTGGTAACATACACCAAAATAATATGGAAGAGATCATTAAGCTCTGCAGATCCAATTATAGCCCAATGTAGGAGGACTATTTCCAATATTCCTCGACCAATATTCCTACCCTTAATTAGCAGCCTATTTCGACAAGAGCATCTGTTCAAAGCACGTGTAACAAATGATACAACCGTTTAAGGGCTGACCTTTCCAGTTGCTTGTCCGCCTAATTGTGGTAGATGTAGATATTTCTGTGTGTGAATTTGCGGTCCCGGTGTGCACGGCGATTTTGCACGACCCTTTAATGTACTTCGTTCTAGAATTATATGAATTAGCTCATCCTGGCAATTAATTGAAGCGCAGATGGATGTTCGTAAGCTATTTTTCACCTCGGTTAGGGTTCAGAATATTGGTTTCAGAATGCAAATTTATCGGGCTTTTCCTTTAACAGATTGAGGTTTTACGTTCAAACTAACTAAATAGATAAACAGGGTTTATCCATAGAAATAAAAAAGAAACTAAAGAGTCTTTTTTAACTCTCAACTGGCGATGGCGTGGTGAGTTTTTGTACCGCTTATGGCGTGCTGGGGTCAGATGGACCCCAATTTTTTTCAGTTAAAAATACACGATGAAGATATTTTTTAAAAAGCTAGTTATTTTAACACTGTTTACAATATATTCAAACTTGGGAACCATCAATTTCATTAATTTTCAACAAATTAATAAGAACGGACATAAAAATAAAGTAAAACGCATTTTTTAGGAATTTTTGAAAACCGAAATATAACTTGGCTAAGAAACTCATGGAAATTAAAAACATATATATTTTATGATTTTACAGTATTACGAAAATTACATATAACTGAAATGTGAAGTTAAAGTAATAAACAGAAATTATTTTCAACAAAACTGCCAAACCTGAATGTACATAACTTTTTCAAATACAGTTCATGCTAATATGGGATCTGCATTTGCCGCACATGGATCGTGCACATTTTATTCATGAGATTTTTGTTTTTTGTCATTTCTTCGTTGGCAAATGGTTGACATATACCACATCTCTTTTGTTTCTGGTATTGATTAATCAATTTTGTTTCTTCTATAAGTAAGAGATTCAGAGTCGGAGTTATGAAAGTAGGGAAAATGGGGAAACACCGGAATACCTCATCATTGAGTGCGCCACGACGGACGATGACCATTCGTGCCATAATCTTTAATACGACTGATACGACCGATACTAATCCCTGCAAAATCATCTCAAATACTGGCTTTTGTCAAAGCTGTATCGGACAAGATTATATAACTCAAGAAAGTAAGATAAAATAGATCTGGTGGTCGCGGTGATTAACTTCTCCGCTCCCATACATGTCACAATCTAGGATATATTCGGTTTAGCATATCGTCGGCTTTATGACGAAAAGACGTATCTCGATTTTTGCAACTTTTGAGGAGAGCAATTTAATAATTAAACTACTCAAAATAATTATCGCATATTTTCTAAAAAAAATATATTAATTTGAAAAACAAGACACTTTGAATTCTCTAACTTACAGTTGTAAATAGTTTAGATACTGTGAAGGACAATTCAAAACAATAAGCCTACGCGTTGACTTCTAATTTAGTCGGCTTAGTATTTAGTTGCAAACGTGAAAACAATTCATACTTTGGGTAATATACCGTATATATATATTGGTTACAAATATTCAACTAAATAGTCAGCATATTAAAAATTGCCTGCCAGCGTATAGCCTAAGGCTACGCCATGCAATCAAGTATTGGGCCGATCGGCTCCATAAAAATGTCGGTCGACATAAAATTACATGTCAGTGCGTACCCTCATTATCCTTAAAAAAACTCACGAGAGAAAGTCAGGAAAATGCATATTTTATTTAGAAATATGTAATAATTACTTTTATTCAAATATGCGATAATTGTTTTGAGTAGCGTATTTATTAATTCTAGTATTTAGCATAGGACAATTTTTTAAAAGAATATAAAGTGAATAAGGTATAATATTGAGATACGGCCAATTTTCCATGCTAAAAAAATGACCCATTGTGCATGTTTTGAACGCTTTTTCGTTATAAAGACTACGATATGAAGTTTTTTTTCTAAAAATAGGTCTATAGTTCTCACCCTAAATATTAGTATGTCATAAGGGAAGACCCTATCAGTCCTCTATCAATACAGGGTGGTCTTAAATAAGTGCAAATATTTTCAGGGCTGGTAGATCTCGATAAAAGAAACATATTTTCTCTTACCGTTTTTCAAATAAGTCCAAAATAGGCGAGTTATTTTACTTTGAAAATTTAAAAAAAAATGATTTTTTGCTAAAATTTTGAGAACCACTAGATATTTTCTATTTTTTCTTTCTTGTAAATATAATCTACTATCTATGTTACCATATTACCAAGAAATTATGTCTTTAACTAAAAAAATCAAAATTTAAAAAAACATACACGCAGTATACCACACCTAAAAATATTTGCGCTTATTTAAGACTCACCTCATATAATTTATTGGCATAATTCTTTGGTAAGTTTTAAAAAATCAAAAACGACCACGATCTTATTAAACTTAAATGGTTCTTCAATAGTCATGCATTTGGTAATAAGTACAACTTGTTTTTCAAAAGTAGGTAGCAACTCTTCATTGATATCATCTTTAATTATAATTTATGCAAGTAAGTCTTAAATACTATCTTTTAATAAACTACGTTGGGTGTTAATATTAATTACCCTAACTTAGCAATTAACTGAGGTAGGGATGGGAAATTCGTAAGCCATTCTTTATTTTGTTCATTCTCACGCATTTCTCTCTGCACCTCCTTCGCAATTGATTGAAATTAATTACTTCGGAAATTGGGTTCGGAATATCGGTTTTAGTTTTACGAGTCAAGAGAACATGAGGTTTTTCCATTTTGTTTCAAACGAGGCATCCTCTCCCGATAACAGATTTTTGTCTTTATTTTCAAAGTGACTATATGGCTTAAATCGAAACGATAAACAATTTTTAGTAATGCTTATAATAATAATAATAAAATACCTCTTTATTGTACAAAAAGCTTCAACGACAAAGCATTTACAATACAAACAAAAGCACAAAAAATATACAAATTATAAAAATATCATACAATACAAATCATACGTTTCAAAATTACAAGTAGAACATACATAGTCATTGCAGAACACAAAAAAGAGCAATTATCAATAAAATCTTACAATAGGAAAATTGTAAATGGATATAATCATTTAAGAGTTATAAAATATTAAATACTAGACTTTTAACCAGTGTGTGAGAACTGGTTCATGATTAAACATTACCAAAAAAATCATTTACCGCATATAGGGATCTCTCCAGTAGCGACTTGATATTAAAAGGCAGATGATTGTACATTTTTTTGGCATTTTACAGTATTGGACTTTAATTAGTTCTGAGCTCGGGGTTGGTTTATTTCCTAAAACTTTTCTAAGTAGATAGTTGTGAGATGGCCTTTCGGAAATAGCTGATATCTGCTTGCGGATTAAGCAAACGGATTCAAAAATGAATAAAGAAGGAAGACTCAGTATTTTGAAATTTTTAAAGAAATTCTGGCAGTGCTGTTCAGTCCCAATAAATATCGAACTGCTCTCTTTTGAAGTTTGAAAATATGATCAAATTTTGTCGCGCAGCAAGTACCCCAGAATGGAAGGGCATAACGAAGATTCGACTCAAAAAGGGCATAATAGACTATTCTAGAGGT